AGCAGGAACGCTGACGTTTCGGGCCTAGACCCTTCTTCAGAAATGGATTCTGAATCTTCAGAGATTTCTGAAGAAGGGTCTAGGCCCGAAACGTCAGCTTTCCTGCTCGTCTGATGCTGCTTGGCCTGCTGTGTTCATCCAGCTCTACACCTTGTTATCTCAGATTCTCCAGCATCTGCAGTTCCTACTATCTCTGACTTGGAATGACCAGGTTTGTGGCTGACCTTATTGAACATAAAGTCTAATTAGAATAATAAAATCAAAATAGAATGAGTGTTCACAATATAAATTCTTGTTCTCCATTTGTAGGTACTTCTTTGCTGTTTTGACCATATTAACAGTTTTGGGTATCCTTAATGGTCTGGTTCTACTTCCTGTTTTGCTGTCAGTTGTTGGACCCCCTGCTGAGGTAAGCATAGTAAAGTCTTGATTTATTGAACCTTCTTAGGTCTATTGACAGAATTAGCCACCCTTGAAACATTATTCTTAGCATCATTAATTGGGTTAGTGATTTATTGTGGCAGGCGCTATCTTGTGGTAGAGTTTAACTCCAAACTCCCCAGTAGGTTTCAAAAGAGAAGTTTAAATAGCCCTACTGTGGATGTTAAGGTCCACTCCCAAACCCTTCTCTCTACTGCATCCAGAACTCTGTCCCCACATCTGAGTATGAGAGGTCAGTGTTGGCAGCATGATTTTTCCACAGCAACATATATTGACAAAACTCATATTGTCAGTACTGCAGAAACTGGATTAATTCTTTTACAGCCAGGATTTGTTTTTCACTAGCTTGCCCTACCCTCCACTTAGGTTATCAAGCTGCCAATGACAGGAAGTAGGTGATGGCCTGGTGGTATTGTTGCAAGACTATTAATCCAGAGACCCAGGTAATGTTCTGGGGACCTGGGTTTGAATCCCACCATGGCAGATGGTGGAATTAGTAATAAGCCTAATAATGGCCATGAAACCATTGTTAGTTGTCAGGAAAAACTCATCTGGTTTACTGATGTCCTTTAGGGAAGGAAATCTGCCACCCTTACCTGGTCTGGCCTACATGTGACTGCAGACCCACAACAATGTGGTTGAGTCTTAACTGCCCTCTGGGCAATTAGGGATGGGCAATAAATGCTGGTCTAGCCAGTGATGCCCACATCCAATGAATGAATAAAAAAACTCCTCATTTTACTGATCTGAGTAGCAGTGGATAGAAAAGGGAGCAAAGATAAATGATGTGTGTTTGGATATGACTAATGCTTCAAACTAAACATGCAAGGCTCATTTTGTTCAGGGGCTTGGACATTTCCATCTGCTTTGCATCGGCTGCAGACTTATCCTAATAGTAATTATGGGTTTCATTTGACTGGGTGGATAAAGAATTAAATGCACAAAGCTTATTATTGTAATGATGGAGGTACAAACTCCCTCATTCAGGATTTGTGCCTGAAAAGCTATCTCTCAATTAGGAATTGCTTGAAGCTTTCTTTGACAATTTATTATCCCCTCACAAAGAACACAATCTGACGTAACACACGGCTTTCCTTTAAAACTGTCTGATAGACACCAACCCCTGGCTTGACAAACAATCGTTATGGCTTCTTCTTCAATAGAGAAACTGTGTATTGTATTACATTCTCTGGTGCCACCTCATATGTAACGTAGCCTATGCCCCTCATTGTAGCAGTAGGTACTTAGATTTTTAACTCAATGTAACACAATATAATATGTTCCGCAGTTTGATACACTTAAACAGCTTCATTGTAAGAACAAACTCAGATAAAACACTTTCAATAGTAACCAATTTGTGCCTTTTTGAAGTTCCAGATTGGCTCTTCTGTGCTACCTTATCCCAGAGTCCCATGCTGTTGACTCTATTCTAACTTTCCCGTACAGCAAATTGATCTTAAAAGCGTGTTTGCATTTTATTAACAAGATTTAGGTTCTTTTGCATTGAAAACTAAATTTTGTGTAACAAGAGCTTCACTCGATAAAGGTAATTAATATAATTGGAAGCAGACCCTTTAATACAAGTTACAAATTTATGTTTGTTGTGAATCTGCACAATCAGCACAGTAGTTGTGTTGAGTATCTCTAAACTAAAATTTTAATCTTGGGGTTCACTAGACTTTCCCAGTTTGTGACATTACCTGAACCCCTTAATTAGACTAAAACCTTGTAATCCGTTCCCAGGTATCCATTATTTTGCACACAAATGATGTAGAAGCTGTGTTAACATTACTATCTGTAATCAGTTCAGAGTGCTGTATCTTTTATTCTGCAAGTGATATAATGCCATAGTGATTATTTAGAACATGCAAAGCCTGTTGAACTTTGTCGCCTTTCCTTGAGCAAAATGTGAACAGGCTACTACAGTCTTGCCAACACACAATTGGATTAAGAGGAGGCTCAGAATTTCTAGTGTTCTGATGCAAAGTACCACATCATTCATGGGTATAGGTGCAAATTCCCAATACTGCTTATTTCCCGAGTGGAGTGTTATGCCGAGAGCACTCTCACATACTCTCACACGGTTCCATAAATAGAAACCTTGGTTGTATATTTTGGCTGCTGTTGTTTTATGGTGTTTGCAATGAATTTCCTTAAACCTTTCACACTTTGCAAACTCCAGAACTAGGGGTCACAGACTAAGCATAAGGGGTAACCTATTCAGGACTGAGACGAGGAAGAATTTCTTCACTCAGGGATTTGTGAACCTGTGAAATTTTCTACTGCAGGAAGCTGTTGGGGCCAGTTCATTAGATATATTCAAGAGGGAGCTGGACCTGGCCCTTGCAGCTAAAGAGATCAAGGGGTTTGGAGAGAGGGCAGGAATGGGATACTGAGATTGCATGATCAGCCATGATCATATTGAATGTTGGTGTAGGCTGTAAGGGTTGAATGGCCTGCTCCTCACCTATTTTCCATGTTTCTCAGGCAAAAGTTCAACTGAAACCCAAAGTGCATGCAAGAAGGGAAATTTTCACCAGAGAAGCTTACAGTACCATTATTAACACCTCCCTCTGTCTCTATCCCTACCACCACCACCGCCAGGCCCCTCTCCCAGCATCCCTTTCAGGAGTAAGACAGATGTGTACCTAAAAATAAATATTAATCAAACCTGGGGTTCAGAGATGCCTGCACCACTAATCTCTCTGAAGAATAGTAAACACATAGGCTGAAGTTTATTGTCCTTCATTAATCTTTTTGATCCTTTGTAAATAGGTTACTCCAGCAGATCGAGGCAGTCGATTGCCAACTCCGTCACCCGAGCCAATTCCACCACCTATGAATCATCATGGCTTCTATGTCCGTACATTTCCACGTCAGCAAAGTACGTTTTCTGAATCCTCGGATTCAGAATATTACTCCGAGACCACAGTGTCGGGGATCAGCGAGGAGGACCTGCCGCACTTTGACCAGAGTGCATACATCATCCCACCAACCCACTCACGGATACTGGTGGAGTCAGGAAACAACCCTAACTTTCCACGAGTCACAGTAAGTGCCTTTCTTTGTCATTCAAAGCACTTTCAGTTTTTTATTGGCATTTTGTCATCAATTGGTTAATGATACTGGCCATAACCTTTGGTAAAAGGCCAAAATAGAATTTAGTTTTGTTCTGTGCCCTGGAACAGGACTTAATAAGGTTGCTACTCTATAGGTTATACATAAAAGCCATGATGTCAATGGTACTGATATGTCCCGTATTTATTAGTCCACATCTGCTATCAGTAACAGCACTGCCAGTATTTGTATACCACATTGATTGTATTAGTTCAAGAAAATAACTCACCATCACCTTCTAATGGGCATCAAGCGATAGGCAATAAATGCTAAACTAGATATCCTATGAACAAATGAATTAAAAAAGTAGTACGGTCAGAATACTTTATTTCTACTCAAGCTGCTTGTCAAGTGAAAGATCCACGAGTCAACATGTTGGCGGATGATAAAGCAAAAGTGGCCTGGTACTTCTCTACCTCATCCTCCGCTCTGCCATGGCACTTTCTGCCTCGGTATGATCATTGCTGGTATCCAAAGATATCTGTATGAATGGTGACCTTGCTGTAAAAGGTAACTTGAGGGTTATATTCCAAACCTGTCCTTGTAAATTATATGTGTGAGGGTATGTATGACAGGATGGCTAGGATGTACCATTGGAAGCTAATGTAGGGAAATTCTTCTTGAAGTAACTAATCATGCATTTCACTTTGAATAATTAACAATTAATAAAATATAAGCCTTTAGTGCTCTCTTCACAAGGCTCAGTCTTTGAACATCACTGTCTTTCAGGTTCCTAGTGCAGAGTCAACATCGACCTCAGCGTTCCTAATAACTGATAAGTTCTTAGCTTTTAAGGCCTGTGTAACATTTTAGACAACTACTTGCAATGCAAGGCTGCCAGCTCACCACTAGCACTTCAAGTACATTGGGGACGGGTAGTAAATGCTGGGGACTTACTAGATTGTCCTGTGAATGAGTAAAACAAATCTGAGGCAGTGATTTTTAAAATGTGAAAGATTTGTTGAAAACATATATGCAGACAATATTGCTTTTGATTTTCTCCAACAGATTGTGAAACCATACAAAGAGCTTAATGATTCCTCTTCAAGGAAGAATCACATAAACTCAAAAGAGCAACCTCAGCCAACTGTGGATTCTGTTAGTTCTCAACTAGCCTGGCAAGAACCTAAAGACTCACAACAAACAACAGGAGAAGGGAGACAAGTCTCTGACAGCGGTCTGCACAACAGGAGTGCTGTTCAACCTATTCAACCTGTCAATTCCTCTAGGAGTCAACACAGGTCTCGGAACAACAGGACTCACCATCCGAGGACTACACTTCCAGCATACTCAACCAGTGTGCCTGGGCCAAGTAACCCTTTCACTACGGTGACTGCCACAGCATCAGTGACACTAGCTGTGCACCCGAGTGTACCACAGACATTTAAAGGGTACACACATGAAGGGTTCGAGGACAGTGAGCCAGAATGCTTCGAGGAACCGCACATAACCTCCTCATATGTGAATCATCAGAAAACGACAGACTCCAAAGTGGAGATTTTTGAACTACAGGATGTTGAATGTGAAGTAAGGAGCAGAGAAGCCCCAAGTAGGCATTAGGTGAGTTTTTTTCTTTCTACCTTTTAGTGGAAAAGCACCAAAATAAAAATTCAGGGCAGAATCAAAATTTATTTCGATCTTAAGTATAGTATTGAACCTAGCTTTTTTCTCCCTACTTTCTTAATATATTATGTCACCATTTCACATTGACTTTCCTGGTATTTCCAACAATGAGCTGCTTTCTCCCACCTTCATGTTGCTCCACTGCATGCTTCAGGGAGAGGGGCAAGAGTCACACTATAGGAGACAAGATACACCAGTGTTCCTCAGTACTTATGATTACCCTGTTCTTGCAGGATGTTCTTTTAAAATCAGGTTGCATGTACATCTAGTGTGTGCTGAGCCCCAGACAACAAGCTCCTTCCTGTTCATTGTTGGAAGAGGGCTCAGTTGTTTCTCGTGATAGTGACATCATCATCAATAACCATTCCTTTCAAGGTTTTGGGTTCATGGCTTAATTAAGCTAATGGTCATCAACTGAGCTTCTAAAATACCAATCAAGGGTGTTTGTTAAGAATGTCTATTTAAACTGTCTTTGCTACTCTTTGGAAAGGCATCCATTCCCCTCCTTCTGCTGTAAAGTCTCCTGTTCAGCCACGTACTGTGTAATTCCTTCATGAAGTTGCAGATGTGTCCTGAAACCTCAAAACAATCCAGAGTCTGAAACCCACAAGAGGTCACTGTCAGCTAGCTCAGCATTATTAGACCTCTTATCAAATCACACATCTGCCTGGTCTGTATGGCCTAATGATTCACTTAATAAATTTGCTCATTGAGGCAGCTGACCAAAAAACTGTTTTCTTGATGTACACTGACTAACGTCAGATACTGATTCAGTTTTCATATCTGGATGTTTTAATCTGTATTTGGTCTTTTTTGATTTGCTGATGGCAGTTGCCACTCTGGCTATGTCCTGTCAGTGCATCATGCTTTAGTCAGTTAAAGTGCACCTTAATCACAATCCAGCAAAAGATTCCTTTGCTGAGGAAAATTCACAGGAAAGTTTGCCTCTAATAATTTTCAGCAAAACAAAAGAACTTTCAAAAACTTTAAAATTGGCCATTTAAAAATATCTACACTTTAACAGCAATCAACTAATTCTGATTCTAATACAGGGATTCAAGAGAAATAGAAACAGTATTTTCACTTTTTCCTCTGAATAAATCTGTGGTTAGTTAAAAAAATAAACATAACTTGTTTGGACATTTTAGCTTTAGTAAGTTTAGACATAGTGAAACGCTGATCAATATCATTAGCAATGGTGCTGATCATAAACATCGGTTATAACATTTGTGCTTGGCTTTATGTTGCTAATACTTCTAATGTTCACCTTATCTGCAGGTCGCCCCACATGAAAGTGGCAACCAAAGAATGCTAACATTCCCTCCACATCCCGATGTCCTTCAGCTCAAGAAACGTGTAAAACTGCCTATGTACATAAACTTCATGACAGAGACAGTAAATTTATATTAAAATATTAAGTTGCCGTTTAAATATATTTTAATACTAAAAAACAAAACAAACCTATTTAATGATGTACTGTATACTTCTGTATGATATACTGTGTAAAGCACCAGAAAATTCAGAGGCAGAGTTCTAATGAATGGTAAGATATGTAGTCTGTGTACAATGAAGAGAGTTTTTGTATCTTTGGGTTCCAATAAGTGATAATTGCTTGATTATTTTGCTGCTACTCTTTTTAAAACTTAGAAGATTATATAGATTAAAATTCCGCCACCACACCACTCCTGCTACCCCCCACCACCATTCCATCAGGACTTTCTTTCTATGCAAGTACCTAGTTACCATGAAAGATGTTTTACCAGTTTTGACAAATTAGTATGGTTACCGAAGCAATTTGCTTTCCTCATAGGCCTGTGTATAGGGATGTTCAGATTGTATTATAACGTTGTTAAAAATTAGCTTAATGACCTAAACTGAATTCTAATTCTTTTTAAACTTCGACATTTTTTCAAACACAAGTTCAAGAGTTTATAAAGACAGCTACCTGCCATAGTATAAAATTATTTTTCACCCTTTCCCCTCCAACAATGATATCGTGAGCAATCTAGGCAAGTTACTGTAATTACACTGTGACTTAGCCTGTGGGCCAGACTATTAAGAGCTTGCAAAGCAACATGAAGTTAAAGTCAGACATTGTGATGAGGATTATAGAATGCAATTTCAAACAGATGAACTGCCATAGGTTAGTGGTCATTTAGAGCAATTATAGCATGCCTTCTGAACATTGAATATCAGACACAGTAGTTGAGTCCTTTAGACTGGAAAAGTCCCAGCCTCAACCCTGGTCTGTGCTGAGTTAGTTGGTACTGGCCGAGGCCTTGATGGGAGTGGTCAAATTAATCTCAGTGTTGTTGAATTATGGAGAAGAGAATACAAAGATTTATTTTCCCTTGTCAGAGTGTTGATTCCTTGCTAAGGTACTCTTCTGTGGATGCCCTTAAATACCCTATCCATATGGTTGTTCTTCAATGAGTGAAATGTGACAGTTGAGTGATAGTAAGCTGTTAGACATGATGACCGCAGTTACGATAGATTTTGTCTTCATCCAATGTTCAGTCCTCAAGAGCTTGCTGAAAAGCTATGAGTCAGAAATCCGTGAGGACTTTGTGACTGAACTATAAGAAAAACTGAATGATGGCCTAATGGAGACTTTTAAATCATTTAGGGTAGAAATAGTAAAGATTTTTCCACTTGTGGGGAAGTCTGAAACTAGGGTCTCTAAATATAAATTAGTCACAGTTTAATCCAGCAAGGGAATTTTGGAGATGTTTTACCTAGAGAAGGATGAGAATGTGGAACATGCTACCACACAATCAGGTTGAGTGGAATAACACAGATGCAATTAAGGGGAAGCTAGATTAGTACATGCAGGAGGAAGAAATAAAAGTAAATGTTGATAGGGTTAGATGGCACAGATTAATCATGAGCTCTGTTAGACTCCAGTTAGACCAAACCGCCTGTTAGTGAGGAAAATTCAGTGTAATTCTTTCATTAGCTGAGGGGAGCTGGGATGAATTATGAAAGCCTCCCATTGATCTTAGCTAATTTAACACAGAAAGTGAACCAACATCATGGCCCAAATAGCTCACTAACCAGTCCTTATATAAGTTGAACCATCAGGTCTGCTTTAACTTTCCTCCTGCTCTGTAAATGTCATGCACCATCACTTCTGCATACACTCCGGACCACGAGTTTAAAAAGTTGTGTTCCAGGCATCTCAGTGTTAACCAGCAGGCAGTGTACGATTGTATTAAATGTAGTACAGTTTTCATTGATCATTGCAATTGAGATTGAGATTTTTTTTTATTTTGTGCACCTTTCAATTTAGTTATATAGTTTGTGTGAGTTTATTAATGATGTCCTGTTCAAGAAAAATGACACTTCTCACATTTCTGTCTTGCTGGTGTTGCTTTTTGCAGTATCACCTTTCTTAGCCCAATAAAAATAATTATGCCTGTGAGAAATCGCAAACTTGGACCCATGACCCACCATACCATGTGAATAGTTACTTGGGCTATTCAGCTCAAAAGAATCTCACCAGTTTTGCTCCATCCATACAATACGTACATATACATGATATAACACTGTTTAATGGTCCTTTCTTTTCCAGAATTCTGTTTCCATTCATAGTTACTCTTAGTGTTTGACATTCCATTTTCTTAAAGGGTATAAGGTACTAACAATTTGTCTAATTTGTAGTCTTGCTTATAAACCACAGCCAAGGCCACACTGAAACCTGTTGTTTTTGACATTCTTGAGTCCTGGCTCCAAATTTAACCAATCTGAATTTTCCCTCCTCTATGAAAATATGTCAAAAGACACCTCCTAAGTAAAGCAAGCAATGATTTGAAGTGTAGGCATTTTGATAATCACCTGCAATCTTCAAAACCATTATTTAGTTCTTTGTAAAATAACAAAAAGCATAATTGTTTGAATAGTATTGGTCCCGATAATGGTGGTGATTTAAGCAGATCAATCTGTGGCCCACCTTTTAAAAATGTATTAAATCTAATTCAGAGGAAGCCTATCTTTAACACTGAATGATAAAGATACTGAAGATTAGTTTCAAAAATTGGGTTATTTTGCTGTTCAAATCATTCATTATTGCATAAATGTAACCTTAAATGTTGCTTGTGTGTCTTCTCACAATTATTGTATTCTCATTGAACATGCAGCTCAGTTTTCTAACCAGACTAAAGAGAATGGAGCCTCATAGCCAGTAAAAATGAATGAATGAAAGTATTTTAATCGGTTTTTTTTGCCGGGGTGTTATATTTATATTTTTGTACAATATTGGGAAAAAAACGGTGTTTGTCACAGAGGTACTTGCCCACAAGGCTCTGGATCTTATGCTGAGCAACATGGTTTGAAATCGCTAGGATGTCCCAAGAAACTACATCAACAAACTTGATGTGCCATTTCTACCATGCCACCTACCTGAACTCACTAATCCCAACTCTGTTGAAATAACACAGGAGGAGCTGGTAGGGTTTGTAATTATGTATCCAATTGTTGCCAATATAGCAAACGCAAATTTTGTTAGACTGATTTAATTATAAGTATATTTGAAGTAGAATGATTGCTTCAAATTTCAACATTCCGTATCGGTTTTCTGAATTTTTCTAAATTACTCTGCCTTCTAACTTTATTTTACATTAGTTTTTTTCCCTGCTTTGGAGGCCTAACAGATGGTGCACGGTCTAGCTTGGGTGATTGTCCATGAACACGGCAAATGCCACTAGCAGTTGAAGCCCATCGCTAACAAGAAACCTTTACAAACTTCACTTTATCCGTTAGTTGCCCACCTTTCAGCCCATCTGTTCTTTGAAGTTTTTCATTAAAACAATATCTCCTGGTTTGCAATTTCCAACACAAAATTGAATTGAACCTCTCCAATTTTTTACTTCTAATATTTTCTTGAGGTAGAAAATGAGAATACAAAGTGCAGAGTATAACTGGGCATGATGATGCAGTCCAATTTCTTAATGATTTCAAATAATACTTTATGAAGTCAGCACATTATACGCAATTAATACGTGTTCCCTATGATCTCTGTCTTCCCCTGTGGTTTTCAAACTTTTCTTTATCCAGGATTCTCACAGAAATACAACTCTTAGAGGCCACCTATCATCAATTCTAAAAAAAACCTTAGCTATCCAGATAAATCTAAGTGCTGAAATGCTTTAATACACAAGAACAGAAAACAGAGAAGTCTTATGATGTTACACTACCATCAGTAACCCCTAGGCCTTCAGGACCCCAGTTTGAAAAACCTGTTTCTAGCCATCTTGTACTATCTCTGTGGAGAGCTACCCAGGGATCAATTAGCTGCAGAACCTGGAATCCCAAGTGATCACCATTCACAGCACCATTCACTGCATGAGAAGCTTCCACTCTATACCAAGAAAGTTTTTGAGTGAAAATTTGTGCAATGTTAAAATACAGAAATGAGGGAGCATTAAGAAACCATGTTAACTGTAGATACATTTGCCCATTTAACCACAGAAAATGTAGCACAAAAAGAGACCATTGTATCAGCTTCTACTAGCTCAAAATTTTGCATCTTTCAAACCAGCCATGGGCACAGTTGGCGATCCAGAGTTTTAAGGGTTCATCTCTGCGATTTGTCTAATCACTGCCAGTTCAACAAATGCAGGGAACTTTTGTTTATTCTAGAACTTCTGTAAATATATTTGAAGCAAAACGGGGCTGCTTCAACTTAAAAAAAAAGTGTACAAATGCTGTATCCGTGTAACATGTGAGGGGGAATAAGAGAAAAACATGTTTTCTATTGTAGAGTCCGGTAGAAAATATGTCTTGTCTCTTTCTGTGAGGTAAAAATCTTGTAAATTGTAGTTACTGTAGCAGGAAAGAAAATATACCCTCCACATGAAAAAAAATCTAATCTGTTCATGTGGGCTATTTTTGGTTGATGGGTATATGTAATCACAGTTAAAATATTGTATGCCATATAAGTTATTTATATAAAATTTTTATTTTTGTAGTTGTACAGAAGTAGCCCTCTGACTGAAGTATATTTTTAAAGAGTAAATATATATTATTATATTATATATTGTTAATTGGGTTCATTACTAAGGTTTAGCGGCACACCTTCTAGTATACACATTTGCAGAATGAAGGATGTGTACTGAACTGTTACTGTCTGAGTTGTCATCGTGTTTTGTTATGGCTCCTTGCATCCTATCCATCCCTGTTAATTGAGTTGATCATTTGGACATCCAGACGCTGTGACCAATAAGCCTGCTCCTTGTGAACGTTATACTGCCATGTTTAGTCTCCAGCACAATAGGAGATTAACTAACACAATAAAAATAAATATGAACCATTTAATCTAACGGTTGTCCTGTGTACTTTATTGCATTTTCATCGGCTAAACAATTCTCAAATTTTGAAGCATACTCAGTTATCTATCAGCTGGCATTTTTTTTCCAAACATCTTTTTAAATTCTCTCAATCAAGAAAAATAATTATTGTTATATCTGTGGATACTTTCTTTTTCATTCAGAAGATGTGAGTGTCACTGGCAAGATCAGCATTTATTGTTACCCCTAACTGCCATTGGACTGAGTGACTTGCTGGGCCATTTAAGGAGGCCATTTTACACTCAGCCACATTGCTGTGGGTTTGGAGTCACCAGGTAGGCCAGACTGGGATAGCAGATTTCCTTCCCCACATTTAGAACTTTAGTGTATCAGTGTCTTTTTACAACAATCAGTGATGGTTGCCAAGGTGACCATTTCTGAAACAAAAATTGCTGGGGAGACTCAGCAGGTCTGGCAGCATCTGTGGAGAGAAAATAGAGTTAATGTTTTGAGCCCAGTATCCCTGCTTCAGAACCAACCCTTCTTCCGTTCTTTGTATTATTTCACCATTACTGAGACTGCTAATTTAAATTCCACCAACTGCCATGAAGCTGTCGTGAGTCTGAGTCTCTGGATTACTAAAAAATTACCACGATGTCACCATCATCCCTACTTTTAGGTATAGCCACTGAGTGATGGGAAACCTACATTGCTGCTCTTGTGTGTTATTCTCCTAACGTTTGGGAAAGATCTTCACAATCATCTGGTGCTATGGAATTTCAGAAAATAAAAAAAAATTAAATGATAATCAGCAGCATTACTTCCAGGTAATAAAGTATATGCATGTCAGGCCACTAATTCATATAACCATACATGTATGTCATTCTAAAATGATCCTGTCAGCCAAATACATCAAAACAGTGAATGATATGAATTGGTTATGGTGAAAGCCAAAGTGTAATTGAGAATCAGAATCTATCCAGAAGGCAAATATAATACATGGGCTGTAAATTTTTTGCTCATGCAATAAAATGTGGGCATTCATATTTGCATTACATCGTCGAAATTGGTGACTTCATTTTCAAACTCCATTTGTGTGATTGGGTCATGCCTCTGGGGAATACATCCACTGTCTGCTTTTCAAATCGAACCAGATGTTGCACAGCTTGTGAGATTCTGCAATGATACTGTTTCTGATGGGTTTTTACTTGGAAACTTGGGACAAGTAGCTTTTTAATATTTGAGGTATGTGGCATGAGTGAGTATCTGTCCTGCCAATGTGACAATAAGCTTTAGAGGTATTGATGAGACAAGTTATGGTGCAAGTTGTCACCATTTGCTTTGAAGTCATCTGCCAACTGCAATTGCTAACAATGAAGAATAACTAGGTTTAATTGATATAGCATGTTCCACGTTCCCACCCATTCACCATTACCCATTCCCCCCTCCATTCACCCAGAGCCCTCATTCACCCCCTCTCCATTCATCACACAGTCCATCGCCATTACCCCCAACCCAATTTCCCCTCACCATTTCCCAATCCTCCTCAAATCAATCTTGTGGAGCTGTTGATGAAAGGCAAGCAGAATGAACACCTACTTTTCAATCAACAGTAATCTGGCATCAGCATGCAGTCAATGAGGCGACAGCTTCTGGTATAAAAATGTGCAAGCTTTTTAAAAGGCCTATTGTTGTCAGGAATCAAACTGGGTTCCATAGCAGCCATTCCTGCTTCCTGCTTCAGAACTCACAACCCCAAAATCTTGTCTCAACTTTAGGGGCCAAGGCCCACATTTTGGGAAGTCCTGCTTTATGTCCACTTGAAAGCGCAGATTGCACCCTAGTTGGTAGCTCATGTGAAAGACAACATGTCTCCAACAGTACAGCACTTCAGCAGTGTTTATGTTTCCAACTGCTCCGCTTTGATCTCTGATAAATCTACTCATTTCTGAGGCTGAAATAAGTCAGCCAAACTGCAACAAGAGCTGTCCATGCATTCGATGCCAACCATTCTGTTAAAAGCATCATCGTACACCAATTGGTTATTAAATAATTCTTGTGGAAATTCAGACCCAACTGACAATTGGACAACAAGGTGCAGGGCTGGATGAACACAGCAGGCCAAGCAGCATCATAGGAGCAGAGAGGCTGACGTTTCGGGCCTAGACCCTTCTTCAGAAATGGGGGAGGGGAAGGGGGTTCTGAAATAAATAGGGAGAGAGTGGGAGGCGGATAGAAGAGGGATAGAGGAGAGGATAGGTGGAGAGGAAACAAACAGGTCGAAGAGGCGGGGATGGGGCCAGTAAAGGTGAGTGTAGGTAGGGAGTTAGGAAGGGGATAGGTCAGTCCAGGGAGGACGGACAGGTCAAGGGGGCGGGATGAGGTTGGTCGGTAGGAGATGGAGGTGCGGCTTGAGGTGGGAGGAGGGGATAGGTGGGAGGAAGAACAGGTTAGGGAGGCAGGGACGAGCTGGACTGGTTTTGGGATGCGGTAGGGGGAGGGGAGATTTTGAAACTTGTGAAATTTTTCCGCCGACTCCGCCTCCACGCTTACTTATTTAACCGTGAACCTAACCTTCCCTCTACTGACCCCTTCTCCCGCTTCCAACACACCCCCTCCTCCTGGACACCACCCCAAGGCCTCCTGCCCTCGCTCGACCTCTTCATCTCCAACTGCCGTCGAGACATCAATCGCCTCAACCTCTCCACCCCTCTCACCCACTCCAACCTCTCCCCCGCAGAACGTGCAGCCCTCCGCTCCCTCCGCTCCAATCCCAACCTCACCATAAAACCCGCGGACAAGGGAGGTGCAGTTGTAGTATGGCGCACTGACCTCTACATCGCCGAGGCCGGACGCCAACTCTCCGACACCTCCTCCTACCGCCCCCTTGATCATGACCCCACCCCTGAGCACCAGACCATCATCTCCCAAACCATCCACAACCTCATCACCTCAGGTGACCTCCCATCCACGGCCTCCAACCTCATCGTTCCCCAACCTCGCACTGCCCGCTTCTATCTCCTTCCCAAAATCCACAAACCTGAATGCCCTGGTCGACCCATTGTCTCCGCCTGCTCCTGCCCCACCGAACTGATCTCCAACTATCTGGACTCCATTTTCTCCCCCTTGGTCCAGGAACTCCCTACCTATGTCCGTGACACCACCCACGCCCTCCACCTCCTCCAGAACTTCCAATTCCCCGGTCCCCAACACCTCATCTTTACCATGGACGTCCAGTCCCTCTACACCTGCATTCCCCATGCAGATGGCCTTAAGGCCCTCCGCTTCTTCCTGTCCCGCAGGCCCAACCAGTCCCCCTCCACTGATACCCTCATCCGCTTAGCTGAACTCGTCCTCACACTCAACAACTTCTCTTTCAATTCCTCCCACTTCCTACAGACAAAGGGGGTAGCCATGGGTACCCACATGGGCCCAAGCTACGCCTGCCTCTTTGTAGGTTACGTGGAACAATCCCTCTTCCGTACCTACACCGGCCCTAAACCCCACCTCTTCCTCCGTTACATTGATGACTGTATCGGCGCCACCTCGTGCTCCCACGAGGAGCTCGAACAGTTCATCCACTTCACTAACACCTTCCACCCCAACCTTAAGTTTACCTGGACCATCTCTAACACCTCTCTCCCCTTCCTGGACCTCTCTGTCTCCATATCGGGCAACCACCTAGAAACCGATATTCATTTCAAGCCCACCAACTCCCACAGCTACCTAGAATACTCCTCCTCCCACCCACCTTCCTGCAAAAATGCTATCCCCTATTCCCAATTCCTTCGCCTCCGCCGCATCTGCTCCCAGGATGAGGCATTCCACTCCCGTACATCTCAGTTGTCCTCGTTTTTCAAGGACCGTAACTTCCCCTCCTCGGTGGTCGAGAACGCCCTCAACCGTGTCTCCCACATCTCCCGCACCTCATCCCTCACACCCCGTCCACGCAATAAGAACCAAAAAAGAATCCCCCTCGTCCTCACGTACCACCCCACCAACCTCCGGATCCAACGCATCATCCTCCGACACTTCCGCCATCTGCAATCCGACCCCACCACCAAAGACATCTTTCCCTCCCCACCCTTATCTGCTTTCCGGAGGGACAACTCTCTCCGTGACTCCCTTGTCCGCTCCACACTCCCCTCCAGCTCCACCACACCCGGCACTTTTCCCTGCAACCGCAGGAAGTGCTACACCTGCCCCCATACCTCCTCCCTCACCCCCATCCCAGGCCCCAAGAAGACTTTCCACATCAAGCAGATGTTCACCTGCACATCTGCCAATGTGGTATACTGCATCCGCTGTACCCGGTGTGGCTTCCTCTACATCGGGGAAACAAAGCGGAGGCTTGGGGACCGCTTTGCAGAACACCTACGCTCGGTTCGCAATAAACAACTGCACCTCCCAGTCGTGAACCATTTCAACTCCCCCTCCCATTCCTCAGACGACATGTCCATCCTGGGCCTCCTGCAGTGCCACAACGATGTCACCCGAAGGTTGCAGGAACAGCAACTCATATTCCACTTGGGAACCCTGCAGCCCAATGGTATCAATGTGGATTTCACAAGTTTCAAAATCTCCCCTCCCCCTACTGCATCCCAAAACCAGTCCAGCTCGTCCCTGCCTCCCTAACCTGTTCTTCCTCCCACCTATCCCCTCCTCCCGCCTCAAGCCGCACCTCCATCTCCTACTGACCAACCTCATCCCGCCCCCTTGACCTGTCCGTCCTCCCTGGACTGACCTATCCCCTGCCTAACTCCCTAACTACACTCACCTTTCCTGGCTCCATCCCCGCCTCTTCAACCTGTTTGTTTCCTCTCCACCTATCCTCTCCTCTATCCCTCTTCTATCTGCCTCCCACTCTCTCCCTATTTATTTCAGAACCCCCTTCCCCTCCCCCTCTTCTGATGAAGGGTCTAGGCCCGAAACGTCAGCCTCTCTGCTCCTATGATGCTGCTTGGCCTGCTGTGTTCATCCAGCCCTGCACCTTGTTGTCTCGGATTCTCCAGCATC